ATAGGGTATGGGAAAGCGAAGATGGCCAGTGCTCCCGCAACCTGATAGTAGTTACCATTGTAAGAATTCCGGATGTACTCAATGAATTCCACAATGGTCCTAGTGGAGGGCACCTGGGAATCACGAAGACCCTGGAGAAGGTTAAGCAAAGGTTATGTTGGGTTGGTTGTCGGCAATCGGTCGCAGAGTGGATTGCTAACTACGCGGAGTGTATTGCAGCTAAGGGGCCGAAATCCAGAAGTCATGGCCAGATGAAGCAATATAACTCAGGTGCACCTTTCGAGTGGATTGCCATGGATGTAGCCGGTCCATTTCCTATGAGCGCACAGGGAAACAAATACGTCCTTGTGGTTATGGACTACTTTAGCAAATGGCCGGAGGTATACCCGATTCCAAACCAGGAAGCTAAAACAGTAGCGGAGGTATTCACCTACAATTGGGTTGCGAGATACGGTGTACCTATAGAGCTGCACTCTGACCAGGGAAGAAATTTTGAATCGGCGGAGTTCCAAGAGATGTGCCAGATACTGGGTATCCGGAAAACTCGAGCAACGGCTCTTCATCCCCTATCAGATGGCATGGTGGAGCGGTTCAACCGAACCCTGGAAGAGCATTTGCGGAAGGTCGTGGACAAAACTCAGAAAGATTGGGATGTCCGCATACCCCTGTTCCTGATGGGATACCGGTCAGCAGTGCATGAAACAACGGGTAAAACTCCTGCAAGGGTAATCTTCGGCAGTGAGCTCCGTTTGCCTAGTGACCTGAAGTTTGGAGTAACTGGCGATGCAAGGAGAATTGGGAAAGAGACGTCCAACATCCTGGAAGAGGAGTTAAGAGAAATACATGCTCTTGTGAGACAGCGAACTCAAATTATGAGTGACAAGATGAAGGCCAGGTATGATAAGGCAATGAACTCCGAGGGTTTCCAAGAGGGAGACTACTAAGTCTCCACAACGGAAGAAAGGTTTGTCCCCAAAACTACAATGCAACTGGGAAGGTCCGTATAAGGTCGTCAAACGGCTGAATGACGTAGTGTATCGAATCCAGACCGTTGGGAGACCAAGAAACAAGATGAAGGTGGTCCACTTGGAAAGGCTTGCAGCGTTTGGAACAGCAAGTGTGTCTGATCGGGATGATCAGACTTAGGTGGAGGGCAGTGTGGCGAATACTGCGGCAACACAAAGCGAACAACGAGAAATAGGCAGAATGTTCGAGGAATGACGTAGAATGTTCCACAAAGAGAAAGTTGGATGAACACTACGAACAGCGAGAGAAAGAGAATGAGCGATAAACTTCAGAATGTTCTAGAGTTACTATAAGTGCCAGCGCAGGTATATAAGGGCGCCGCCACAGCGAAGTAAGCCAGTTACAAGTAAAGTGAGCAGAGAAGTGAGTTGCGAATAAGCAAGCTATAAGTTTGATTGTGTTAACAAGTTTAGTAAAGCGTTTCTACTGTATTAGCGAATATTGTAAATTGTTTGTTGTACAATAAAGTTAATTGTACTACAATTTGGTCATCGTTAGCATTTATTTAACAATCCAGAGGTACGAACCTAACGATATTTGGGAAATCCCTCAAGGTTTCGAGGATAATCCTAACAGTACTGATGGCCTTCAGTAAGGGTATTCATTTAATGTCGTAAAACGCTCGCAAACTATGCAATTTGACACCCTCTCGAACGTTGCCACGAAAGTCGGGTCTACGTAATCGGAAGGACCCAGACTTATGCATGTACATACATATATCTGGCGAAGGAATATCACTCCAGCACCACTCTTCACAATCTCTTTGGAGAATTTGTATGCTGTTAGAGCAACAGCCCCACAAATGAACTGTCAAAATTTGTATGGTAACAACCGATTTACATAATTTAAGTACTTGACGGCAAATCCTAGGGCCAGTTTTTCAGTGCACGGCCGTAGTTTAAACTCAGTTTAAACGCCCGATCTGGCTGGTTTAAACTAAGATCTCCCAGCTGTTCAATTTAAACTCAGTTTACTTAATCTAAGTTTAAACTGGCTATGAAAAACTGGCCCTTATTGATTTTATTTCGAGGAAATTTCAAACAACGAAAATGTCACAAGCAAATAATGAAACTTGAACCTTTCAAAATCCGTCTTGCAACACCTTGGTCCTGCAATTAAATACCCTTATAGCTGTGCTGCCAGACTACTGCATAGCAGAGGCTTTATGGTGAGTTTACACATAGTTGATTAAATCGTTTTAGCTATACGACCAGTGTGACTTTTTACTTAATATTCTATAGTCGTACATAAGCAAACTCTTTTTTACACAGGAAAGAATGCAATCCCTTAAGCACAAGGCTCATAAGTCTTTCAAAAGTAGCAGGAGCGTTGCATAATCCAAAGGGCATCACCGTGAATTGCCAAAGACCGCCTCCAATGCTGAAAGCTGTCTTCTCCTTGTACTGGTCAATTACCCCTACTTGCCAATAACCGCTCTTAAGGTCGAGTGATGAGAACCACTATGTTCCAGTCAACGAGTCCAGAGTATCATCGATAATGGAAAGTGGATAGCTGTGATCTCGTGATCTCGTCTATCACGTCAGGTGTTTCCACTTCTACTCGATGGGCTTTGTATGCTGGTCTACCTAGGAGCGCCGCCGTTTCACTCGTCTGAGCATCTCACCAAATGTTGGCTTTGGATTTGCATACGTCTCTCGCTTATTATACATGTGCCACATTCCGTTGATGAACCTCTGGATTTTTACCCTTTCGAGGTGCTCACCGGATGCGTCCGCAATTGCCAAGTGGGCCAACCTCTCGATCTCATAAGCGGATTCTGTAGAGTCTTGTTAGATTTTTGGCAGCGATTCTCCAGCTCCATCTGGCAAATCTGCTTCTTGTGCTCGCTGCCATAACGTCTTTCAACGGCCTCCATCAATGCATCGTAAGTGTTCCTTTCGCAGTCAGGAATAGTCTGCAAGATTTCCGCTGCAGGTCCTTTAATGCCATGAATAGTTCAACTGTTTTATCCTCCATGCTCCAATGGTTTGCTGCAGCCGTCTTCTCGAACTGGAGCTTAAAGACATGGAAAGGAATTATGCCGTCAAAGGATGCAGTTTTTACCTTAGGAGTGTTAGTCGATCACGGAGTCGACCCTTCAACTCATCCACCTTAGCTTCGACTTTATCCTGTCTCTCTTTGATCTGTGTGGTATGATTGGCCAAATTTTCCTGCATTTGAGTAATCTTTGCGTCCTATGCCTACAGCTGCGATGACATTCGTGCCTCCTGTGCTTGTAGCTGAGTTTCTATCCACGATGACACCTGCGATGAAATCTGTAATGACAGCTGTGACGAAATCTCCGACATGCGCGTATCCTATGCTTGCATTTGAGATGAAATCTGCAACAAGCGTGCATCCGACTGGGATGAAATTGCAGCGAATAGCATGTTGATGTCCATAGTCCTAGTTGCACTAGAAACATTTTCTTCAACCTTCGTAGATGACTTCTCCATGTCCTTCGATAAACACACAGCCTCTTCCTTGTCTTCACCCTTCGTGAATGTCTCATGGGTTTCATGATGTAAGTCGTACTTGCCCACGTCGATGCTTTCCTTTTGCATAGCCTCTCGAAACCGGGATAATAATTCCACTTTTCTTCCGGAGGTGGCCAAATTATGCTTTTCCAACTCCTGTTTCAGGTCCTCGATCTTTAGGTCTTGGATTTATTTAAAAATCCCACTTCTGACACCAATTGTTACGATTATCCTACTTGACTTGCTGTCTCCATTAGGGTACAGCTATCGTAGGAGATCTGTCAGTTTCATCGCAAGGGAAATGCTCATCATAAGGAAATTTTCGTACTTGGGCATTTCATCGCAAGGATTTCATTTCAAAAAGCGCTAACGAGTTCATTCCACATGACAAAAATTACTATATTCGCAAAAATAGCTTACTTCACGTTGTTTTGAGCATATTTGTTATAGAAAAACGCAACTTTATGAAAATTCAAAGCTAAACCAATCTGCGGAACTAACTATTTGACAGCTCATCGCCCGCGATAGTAACCAAAATGACAGCTGGACAGCAATAAATTTTATCCTGTGGAAACGGTCAGTTATCGCCTCTAAAATTGCCTGGAAAATCGCCTCATGTGAACACCGTTTGAAGTTCTCAGTATTGATCCTGAATACTACAAAAACAAACAATCAAAACATCTGTTTAGGGAAATTTGGCTGTCATTCGCACTAAAAATATTTTTGTAAACATTTTGTTAATATACCGATTATTTCGCCATTAAAATATGCTTTAAAATATTATAAAAATAATAATAACTTAAGTTTTTGACGTGAAATAGCAAATAAAACCATGGATGACCTAAATCCACTTGCCGGTACGGCACATCTTTTGGAAGAAGTGGATAGTAAGTTTCCCAGGTGCTGACCAATTGTAGGTGGTGCACCTGCTCCTGGTGTAGGAAGCCTTTTACTACATTTCTTTCCAATCTATTAGAGAAGTTAATGGTGCTATTGCGCGATGGACGAACGCTAATTGGTTACCTGCGCTCAGTAGATCAATTTGCCAATTTGGTGCTGCACCGAACCATCGAACGAATACATGTGGGCAATGAGTACGGTGATATACCTCGTGGAGTGTTCATTATACGTGGGGAGAATGTCGTGTTGCTGGGAGAAATTGTAAGTTTAATATAACGATCTAGAGTTTAGTACATTCATATTTAGTTCTGGCCAGGAACTGCCGCTTCTACAGCGATTCCCAAATATATGCATTTCCTTTGCAGGATCGGGAAAAAGAGTCCAATTTACCACTGAAAGAGATTTCTGTTGATGAAATACTAGATGCACAACGTAGGGAACAAGAACAGCGGCAGGAGAAACATCGACTAATATCGAAAGCACTAAAGGAGCGGGGTTTAGCTGTAAACACAGATATAATTAATGAAGACTTTTGTTAAAAAGCTCTTGATTAAGGTTACAAATAATATGACATACCTATCGTAAGTGAGAAAACTGGACGCCGTGAAAAGAAATAATATATTTTTAAGAACTTTTTCAGCCTTGGATTTGTTTTATTATTTAGTATGTAGCAAGAGCACAACACACTTGCTGTACTTTTTATATGTTCAGAGGGAAATACTCAACAGGCAACTATGTTCTTAAAATTTTGAAGTTGTAACCAGGGTTGCCACTTTGCAAAATTGGTAGAAAAAATTTGGGTTGGTAAAAAGGTAAATTTTTTCTCATTTTGGTAGATTTTTGATGAACTTTCCGTTCCCGATTTATTTTTCGTAGTTATCTCTAAATATATTATAAATTTCTTTGCATACTTTTTATATAATTACATACGTATAAATGTATATCGATATAAGGCGAACATATCGCGCTCCATTCAAAACTAATTTTACTGGAATCCCGAGGAGCTTTTGATTGCCTAAATATTTTAAATGATTATTTAAATATAAAGAAAAAATTAACAGGTATGTAATTACGCACTATGATTGTTCGCAAAAAAAAAATAAATCAAAGCCATTTTTTATCTATGGAAAAAAATCAACGGGAATTTTAAGCAGCACATTGTTGGCTATAATCAAATAGTATTTGCTTTAAAACTCCCTACCTTAAATTGTTCTAAGAATTCAGAGTAAAAAATTCGAAATTTAGACGAAAATTTTTGGAATTTTTCTATATGTTGTATATAGTTTGAATCCTCGATTTTTATGGATTTAGTTAAAGCAATAAAAAAATTTTACTCGAAAAATATTGCGAATATTAGAAAAAATCACCTTTTTGAGTCACTGTATTTGTCTATAATAACTAGAGTTGAAGTTTTTCAAATAATGAGGTTTCATTGTTGCCTTTAGTTCCTTCACTTCCGATTTTGGTTGAAGGAAATTGAGAATATGCCAATAATATGACTCAAATACCGTATAACTAGTTAAATAAAAAGTTCTTAAAAACAATTTTAATTCTTATTGAAATAACAAAAAAAAAATATAAAAAAACTATAGTTTTAATTAAAATAAATAAAAAAATAACAAAACTATAGTTTTTATTAAAATAATTATAAAAAGGTTATTGGTAGACATTTCCCAGATTTGGTAGATTTTTTTCAAGTGGATGGTAAATATTTTTTTTCGTCAGTGGCAACCCTGGTTGTAACAGTACATTGTTACCAAACCGACTGACCCCAGTCGTATATCTGGCCAAGGAATTTCACCCCAGCAACATTCCCTAAAACACTTTTGGGAATTTGTATGCAGTTACAACAGCAGCCTCGATCGTTCCCACGATAGTTAGATGTTTGTAATCGGAATGACTCAGATTTAAATCTGGCCAAGGACACTCACTCCAGCAGCATTCCAAAATTCTTTTGGACATTTCTATACTGATGAGAAATAACATATCAGGGTTGTGCTCACTTGGTGGTCCTTGGCCAGTTTGTGCAGATTGTTGTATTAACCAAACGTAGAGGGAAATACATAAATACTGGCTGTTAGATGCTAACCCCTATTGCTAGTGACGACTGGTAGTAGATAAACGACTTTTATTCGATTATCGCATTTTTATGGTATTGTGAACGTCGTTGTCTCGTTCAATAAGTTAGTGTGAATAACTTATAGGCGATCATCCTTCTACAAACAAACAGTTGAAGAAGGATGAGCGACTAAAACTATTCACGGTCGCTTATTGAACGAAAAATCGACATTCACAATACCATTAAAAAGCGATAATCGAATAATAGTCGTTTATCTACTACTAGTTGACACTCGCGATAGGCGTGTCAATCCTGTCACTCGGAGAACATGACGCGAGTATCCACTAGTAGTAGATAACCAACTGTTGGTTGTTGTTGTTGTTGTAGCAGCATACAAATTCCCCAAAGACTTTTTGGGGAGTGTTGCTGGAGTGACAGTCCTTGGCCAGATATAAATCTGGGTCGTTCCGGTTACGTAGACCCGACTGTCGTGGGAACGCCAACTGTGGTCGTTTATCGGTGGTATTTTCAAAGTCGTTTTCTCGTTCAATAAGTGCGTATGAATAGTTTTCTAGCCGCGGTCGCCTTTCGGCATGCAGTGGCAAACTTCAGAGTCTGCTTCTGCCTTCAAAAGCCAGGGCCTGTTCGAGGCACGTTATAAAAGCGGCATTACTGCCGTACTGATGCAAGTTTGCAACACTGTTGCAACTGCCCAACTGATAATACGTGATACTTTAATAGTTCGCGCAACACTGCGGTTGTGATTGCAGCTCGAACAAGCCCCGTCATTAGGGATGTCAGTGGTAAAAATACGTCGTTTTTCTTTGGTTCGATGCATCGAAATTTACATCGATATTTTCCGATTTGCATAGGATTTTTCAGATGATGTTTCACAACAAAATATGTTATTAGCGAAATTGTACAAAGTTAGAAATAAATTACTGCAACTGAGCTAATTACGTTTCTAAGGGAACTTTGTGTAGCCATTTCAATTTTGTGGTCAAAGTCACTTCTCTTTTTTGTAAAAGAAAAATGACGGTACATTAAACCGTCAGATGTGTTTTGAAACACTATACATCGAGTGGAAAATTTTCGATGCATCGAAGCAAAACATCGATATTTTCGGTGCATCGATGTTTTTCCCCGACATCCCTACCGTCGGAGGCGGCGTCAAATTGCAGGTCGCTTTATTTTGTGTAACATCAACCCGTACACCATAAATTGCATGCGCAAAAATATTAGTTGTATTAGAATGAAAGTTATGTCATTCATTATTTAGTCCCCTGCATAACGAAACAAAAAATTTAATTTGCGTATTTATTTGTTCAAAGGATATCCGTATTACATATACATACATGTAAGATAATTTGCTGTAATCTAATTGAATACATACATATCTACTAACTCATCAATTCATTTTTATATGCAGTTATTATGAGTTTTGAACATCGTTCAAAACTTTTTTTCTGGAAATTCAAAAATAGGTCCCTCGTTCGGCTATGGCATATGCATTTGCTTGATCAAGAGACGCCCACTTGAAATTGTCTTTGTTTAGAATGTTAGCATTATGCGTAATGTTATATGTTTTCCAACTCAAAATAGGTTAATTTAGTAATGTTTTTCATTTTGTATTTGCGTTGGAAGGCGTTTCTAAGCTAAGCTTTGAAAATTCTTTATATTATAAACACAATAAACAGTATTTGAATCTCTGGCATTTGTGTGCAAAAAAGCCTGTCTTGGGAAGATTCCTTCCATATTTAAACTACAACTTTTCTAACTTGGCTATAGTACATACATATGGAATTTTAGTTTGTCTTCGAATCTGGTTCATTTGTGAATAGTGGTTTGTCTTGGTTCGTTTTTAAGAATACTCTCAGTGAAGCTCTTAACATCGATTGTATGAATGCTTGCTAGTGCTGTTTATAGTTTGTCTATGAATTTTGAACTTATTTGATTCCATCCTTTGTTTTGTATGCGATTTTCTCACGACTTCATTCATCAATGCGTGATTGCAGACATTCTTTACATTTTTTTTTTACAAATTATAGACACAGGCTTTAAAGTTCTTGTTGTAGTAAAATAATTCTCATGTTACATTCATATTTTACAAATTAGGCAATAAAATAGGTATTTGTTGTTTATTTTTTATGTAACTTTCTATAGATTATAGATTAATATTTAACAAAATAAAAATAGAAAATTGCTTTGCTAACATCTAATATTTAGGCGTGTGAATTGAATTTCTTCTCTATTCATCACCATCATCGCAACTGTGATGTTTTCATTCACTTGGCTTTTCCGCTTCCTTGGCGGCCGGTGTCGGTGCAACCGAGTCTGTGCTTGGTGCAGCTGCCGCTGCTACTGGTTTTGGTGTGGGCTTTTTACTCTCAGCATCCGCTGTCGGCTTTGCGGGGGTTGGCGTTATTACTGGCGCTGCTTTCGGTGCAGCTTCTGGCGCGGGCGCTGCCTTTGCTTCAGTAGGTTCTACTACTGCTGGTTGTTGCTGCTGCGGCCTCTCACTTGACTCCTTAATTTCCTTTTGCACCTCTAATTTGGCCGGTAAATTTACTTGCTTTGATTGCGGCTCGTTCAGAACTTTTGGTCCTGATGCAAATGGGTTATGCCTTTGCACTCCTGTGGGTTGGCTTGGTTTCTTGGCTGCGATATCTATATTTTCTTCTTTATCTTTCGTTGTTCTACTGCTGTTAGCGTCTTTCGCTCCTGCTATTGATGCACTCTCTGGTTTATAATCCTGCAATTCTAGATCCCAATCAGCTTCAGTGTCCGCAAATTTAGCGCCTGGCTTTGTTAATGGTTTGGGTGCTTCATCGCGAGTTTCCTCACGTGAGTTCCGCCGGTTTCCGCCTCGTCCGCGGTCGCCCCGCTCGTTATCTCGGTGATCGCCACGATCCGGGCGTTCACGACCGCCACCAGGGCCACCCCTTCGGTTGCCACCTGGACCACCTCGTACATGCCGTTCTTCGGGCCCATCGCGATCCCGGAAACGGTTGCCGCCCGGCCCACCAGGTCCTCCACCACGCCGTTTGAACATGTTGCCATCGTCAGCTTCCTCATCACTCCAATTGCTTGGACCTCCATGACCCGGCGGTCCGCCTCCTCGACCACCACCACGACCTCCACGACCACCTCGACCGCCACGGCCTGGTCCCGGTCCATCCCGATCGAACGGATTGCGCGGATTGAAGAAGCCTTACGAAAAATATTAAGTTTAAATTTCGTTTAACAACATAAATAATTAATTGTTAAAAATATTAAGCGCATTGCGATAGTCTTTCTTAAAAATTTTTCTGTTATATTCCCACTCACCTTGTCTTCCTGGACCTTGTCCTTGTCCTGGGCCACCACCTGGTCCTCCGCGCATAAACATTGGACCACCTCCCGGCCCACCCATACGTTGATTAAACGCATTGGGTGGCGGTATACGCATTTGCATAAGACTGGTAGGTTGATTGAAGCGATTCTGCATGTTAGGGGGGTAGAAGTCACCATTGTGATTGCCGCCGCCACGCGGTCCCATTAAGCGCGGTCCTCCGCGGCCATCAAAATCTATTGAAACATTAATATAGACAAATGGTTTTTTATATGTTCTACATTGCTCGTTTAACTTTCTATGCGTTGTACTTACCATTCATAAAATCGGGACGATGTGGTGGATTATTCATATCCAGCGGCGGCATGTTCATTGGTCCGCCACCACGTCCTCCACGACCACCCTCATTAAAATTAGGCGGTCCACCCATGTTGCCATCGTTGAAATTTGGGGGTCCGCCACCCATGTTGCCTTCGTTGAAATTTGGTGGTCCACCAGTCATGTTGCCGTCGTTGAAATTTGGTGGTCCACCCCCCATACCACCTTCGTTAAAGGGCGGGGGGCCTCCCATGCCACCCTCATTAAAGTTAGGTGGTCCACTCATATTGCCTTCATTGAAATTAGGCGGCCCTCCATTTTCACGCCACCTTTTTGCAGCTTCAATCAAATCTACTTCTTCGCCGCCGCCCCCACGATTACCCCAGCGACTGCCACCACCACCGGGACCGCCACGGTCACGTGGACGTTCACGGCTAAATATATCGCCCCCGCTATTTTCAGGACCTGGTCCACCGGGTCCACCTGGACCTCCCGGTCCACCAAACATCGGTGGTGGCTGATTAAAGTTTATAGAGGGTGCACCTACTGTCGTCTGTATGTTGGCCGAATTCGGCCCATCCTCCTCATCCATTTCAATATCCATTTGATCGTCATTGGAAGGTACATTGCCAACAGCAGGTGGGGGCACACCACCTACCATAGCGCCTGGAGGTGGGAACTGCCCTGGCCCGCCTGGCGGTGGCATTCCCATTGGTGGTCCCATGCCAGGGGGCGGACCATTGCCACCGGTCACCTGACCAGGTATAGGCGGAAAACCTGGTGGCATCATACCAGTTGGCATCATCATCGGATGTGGTGGAGGCATACCGGGAACCATGTTCGGTGGCATAGGTATGCCGGAGAGAGGCATCGGACCCATGGGACCGCCGAGCATTCGTGGTGGTCCGCCCATTGGAGGCGCCATAGGGAATTGCATGGCCATCATTGGCATTTTTGGCGGTGGCCCTGCAGTAGGTGGTGGGCCCGGTGGCGGTTGTGTAGTATCGATGCCAAACAGTAATCCACCTGGTGGATTATTGCCACCTGATGCAGGCGGTGCGCCGCTAGGCATATTAGCTGCATTCTCTGCAGCTTGCTCCTTCAAACTTTTCATATGATTGATTTTGTCCTTCACCCAACCGGGCATTGAATCTTCGTCGAACATGCCGCCCTCTTCTAAGGAAGCCAAATCCGTTTCATTATCCAACTTAGTCCAAGGGATGTAGGTGCAACCCAACTCCAGATCCCAGAAGTCCTTCCACTCCTTGCTTTTAACACCCTTGCCGGCAGCCCACGAGATGGTGATGGCGCGGCCCTGAAGTTTGTGATTCTTCAGACCTTGCATGGCTTTGTGCGCATCCTGACGTCTGTTCATAACGATAAATGCACAGCCACGCGGCACAATCAAATCGATGCTTACGATATCGCCATACGCGCCAAATGTGTCGGATAATTCCTCTTGGTAGACAAGTTTTGAGAGATGACCCACCCACAATGTAGTACTGCAAACTGCAAGGAGAAGCAAGATTTAGGGCAAAGTATTAGCATTTGCAGTGAAAAGGAAATAAAGTGCAACAAAACAAAGGGCATCATGCATAAAAAGTGAGCTTAGGCTCCGACTCAATTTTCAGTACAAATTCTTTAGGGTGAGCTTACTTCATCAGGGCAGAAACTGAGTCCGAGCTTAAGCTCACCTTGTATGCATGAGACCCAAAATGTTTAAATAATCTAAAACTCAATGACGACCTCGTTGTGGCTGATGTGCGGTTTTACTTTGTAATCTTCTAACTCAATGTTTCTATATGGTGTTTTTGCATTTATCGTCGGAAGGTGGTCGGTGTCTGAATTTCTTAATTTCTTGGTGTTTTTATAGGTTATGGCCATTCCACCTTAGTGCTTAAAGCAATGATTTTTAGCTCCATTACACCATAATTTAGTCAGAAATAATAGTACGAAAGATAGTATTGAATATACCAAATTCTGGAGTTCTGTCACCCTGGGTGGAAAGTTATGCGTGTCGAGCTTGAAGGCAAGAAGTGTAGCGAAGTCAGCGGGGTTGGCAAGCACGCACGGTGAGCGAAATCGGACGACGAACGACAATAGCCCAACTCCGCTGTGGCTACTGCAGCAGATTAAACTCCTACCTGAGTAGATTGAATGAGGATGTGCCAAATGAGTGTTCGGCATGCGGAGAGACCCCACATGACTCGAAACATCTCTTCGCATGCCCGGAAAACCCGACAACCCTAACGGCTTTGTCCTTGTGGACCAACCCAATAGAAGCTGCACGCTTCCTAGGGCTGCCGTTAGTGGAACTTGACGACAACGACTGAGATACCAACCGATCTGGGTGGGGTTGTTGTAGCCGCTACAATAACAACAACAGCGAAATCGAGGGGTTTTTTGACGTTTCGCTTTTATCGAGTTCACTTTTTCGTATTTTTGCTTTGAGTTCGTGATTCGCTCCGCTTTAAAAATGAGGACGAAAGAGTTTACGCTTAAATGTCAAAAATACGCAAGAAACGCCGTAAAGAAAAAATCATCGTGTAAATGCACGAGGATTTTCGAAGACTTTTTTAAAAGGGAATGTGCCAAAAACGCAGGGTGAAAAGTCGTCGTGTAAATTGGCTCATAGAGAACTATGTCCCATTTCTGTGGAGAATGTTATAATTCTCGAGCGTTTCTCTAATCGTCTTCTAACCTTTTACTTTAGGAACGCACATTAGAATTCGAATCGTTTTCTAATCGGTCTCTAACCTTATTGTTTGTTGGGGTAGTGCTCCTATACTTGTTACGGTAGCATACGAGTAACTGATCTACACCCAGAGCGCATATGGTGCATGCAACTTGGAGCAGAGAAAGGAGTATAAATATCTAGTTATTGCTCTCAATGCCAATTAGAGAATTTGTGCGACTTGGTTGCCTTATACTTTGAGTAAAAAACAAGGCCTAGATTATTTAAGTAAGGTGAAGAGATAAATGCATTTATGCAGCTCTTTAGTACCTGATCCAACCCACTAAGATTTTCAATATTTCTAGTAGACTCTAAAACCTTATATCTGATGAAGATTTGCCAAGTCTTCAGTAATACCTTGGCCAAATTAAAATGATATTTTGAAATTGACCCTGCAAAAATACTTTATCTAAACCAATGGTTTCTAAAAAATCCTTAATTTTCTCAAAAACTGTTTGAGAAACTTCGGAACATTTTAGATATATTCAGGCAGGTTCTCCAATTCACTTTCGAGAATATTCAAGCCAAGTTCGCTTTGAATTCAAATTGGCAGGGGTTGAAATTCACTCGGAAGTGAATTGCAGAACCTGCCCAAATGCCATAAACTATAAGAAATAGTCTGTTCCTTTGAACTTCGGACTAAAACCTGTGGAACTGTCAAACTACAATTTTACGCTCTCAAATGAGAGTAAAAGGAGAACAGATGCATAAGTGCATAGGAAAGCAAAAAGCACTATTTCCTGTAACAACGTCAGTCGGTTTGTTTACATGTCTTTTGTACAACACTGATTTAGCTGAAATATCACTAAATAATTATTAAAATCTATACATATTCAAATATTTCGTTGTTTACTTCCATTTTATAACAAATATAAGGTTCTTTGCTTTCACCGCTTTCAGTTTTTGTTTGCACATGTAAATCAGCTGATCGTTTGACACTTTTCATGAACTTACAGGAAAAAATACTCCGGACTAAATCCTGTAACTTCTGACTAGGAACAGTTGCTCAGTTACTCTCTCAAATGTGTTCCCACTTACAGGTTTTATGTCAATAGGAACGACTTCCTGTAAGTTCTGACTAAATCCTGTAAACCGGACTGCTATTGGAACAGACTAAAAAATATATTATTTGGCGCCAAGATTTTGGTTACCTTTGACCGACGTTCTTTTCACATAAAATTGGGCCAAGTGTAGGTCTATATCGAGCATATTTTTAGGAGAGAAGTCCTATCCGACGCATTGCGTGCAAGTGTTGGGGGGGGCCGAAGATCGGACCTATGTTCTACCAAATGCTGCGTACACGTTGTTGTTGTTGTTGTTGTAGCAGCATACAAATTCCCCAAAGACTTTTTGGGGAGTGTTGCTNCACGACGTTCTTCCGATCTCTGGGTCGTTCCGGTTACGTAGACCCGACTGTCGTGGGTACGTACACGTCTTAGACCCTGCTAGGGAAACATCAGCTAATCCCTTTATAAAACCAAAATTCTTGTTTGTTATAGGGCCACATACTATCAGGAAATAGTCAAGGGTAAAGAGAGGCTGTTTAGGAACGCCCATTAGCACACATCAAATGGGCCAACAAATTTTTACTTATTTACTTTACTTGTTATGTTGATCACTGCATTTGTGTGGTTGCGTCGGCATTTTTGAATGAGAGATTTCATTTATTTTTTTAACTGTTTCTGTAGGTTTTTTAAACTCAAGCCTGGGATGCTGGTACTTTGAAATTTAATTACCTTCAACTTTATAGCCATAAAACTCTAAGCTTAGTAGGCTAATCACTCTCCCAAAGACGACTTTAATGGTTATGCGATACGGTGGAAGAAGCCCCACTGCACCTACTTCTAGAATATGAAGCGGCCTTTAGAAAACAAAACACGATTATATGGGGGGCCCAGAGGTTATTCAAATTCACTCTGTGGCGCCCCCAATCTGTTGCGTTTCATAAGAGCTTTAGGGCGGACACAGAAGTGTTCTAAAGCTAGCAACCAAGTTAAGGCAACCATCAATTGAAAAAAGCCTAATTCAAAAATATATCGGGAAAGGGATCCGACTAAGGAATCAACATTGGCGTAACACTACAGGTCTACGTCAGGCTAAATGCCTACTGGGAGGCTACAACCTTGCAAGGTACAGGGCAATTATAAATCTCCCCAAAAAGAGGGTAAGGATAATAACCGGTTTTCTGATGGGTCACTGTAGACTGAGAGGTCACCTGCACAAGCTAGGGATCTGGTCGAACGACCTATGTCGTTCCTGCGATGTGACTGAGGAGACTCCTGTTCACCTGCATCGCGAGAGCAAGGCGGTTGCGAGAAGACGGGAGAGGTGTCTAGGCCAACTCTGGCCAGGTAAAGAATTGATACAATCGCTAACCCCTGGAGATCTCAAATTTATAGGTTTCCTAGGATTCGATGAGGTACTGTAAAAGGTTGAGAGCACAATAGATCTCTTGCACGTAGGCATACCTCTATTTCAATCTATCTATCTATCTAATGGAAACGCTCAGATTAATGTCTAGTCAACGTTTTCCGCTTTAGCAGAATTCTTTGAACTCATTGGAATAGTTTGTTGTGCTGTTACAACGACAGTAAGTGGTCGTATGCAGAGACTTGCTCTAGCGATAGTTTGTACAACCACTGCCAACTAACAACACATATAAAAACGTCTGTCCGAGTTCCAGTACATCTAAATGACTGCTGGGTCCACTAGGCCATTTTGTAAGGTGCTCCTAATGTTATTCATGCCAGCATATATGTACATATCGGACACCGTCTTCAAAAGATTCACAACTCAAAATAATAGGTTTGCCAGAAAATGCGAACAACTATTTTTTAGCACATGATAATCATATGGGCAAGGGCTCTTTACCTTAAATTTTTGTTTTTTTAACAAATTATAACAAAAAATTGTTCTAGCTTTTGCTGAAAGGTAAATAAAAGCTCTGTATACATTTTTAGCGCATAATCCAAAAAATGCCAGATTTTGAGTTGTGAATCTTTTGAAAACGGAGTGCGATATGCTTTTGTTAGTTTGACCGCAGTAACTACAAAAATGTATTGCCTAGTCATGTGCATATTGAATAGCTGAATTTGCTACTAACTAAAGTAGGTGTAAAGTAGGAGAAGCCGAAGTAATAAATACGAAGCGAGTAGACAACAAAGTTAGGTAGTGAGCAGCTACGTACTCAGCATCTTAAGTTGTAGCCGCTGTGTATCAGATCAGATGAACGATCAGATGAAGAAGGCATGTGTGTTGCATGGACGCACGATCGAATACGAAGGATTACACTCTATTGTTATTTGTACTACAGAAAATAATTCATGCGAAGGCGGCTATGCGTTAGTCATGGAAGTTGATATGTTCCGCATGTGAAAAGTAGTACCTGGCGGCCCACTAGGTTTATAATACCGATCACAGAAAAAACTGTTATGGCCTTTGTCCATTCCACCAATTTTATTTACTGTGTTTAGATTTCCATTATCTTACTTTTCTTATTTTGATTACTGAATTTTTGTGAGTGTTTTTTATTTTCATCTGGCAAATTAACCTAACCTATAACTTGGAAATTTGAAAACGTTGAGGTATCAAACATTTCCATTACCAATCTAAATTTTGTTTGAGATATTCATTAGCATGTGATTTTTCATATCCCGATCTATGTGAACTTTTTTCAGAGTAATAATAGATTTCTTCTGTGACTTAATCACCGATTATCGGATATGCTACCTTTATGAACGTACACTGTACAAAGAAACATTTACACATTATTATCCTAAAATTTTGAACGCGTCATATCAGCTAACCGCAGTAGCTTCATTTCGATATCATAGGCTTTACAAAATTAAGCTCACAACCAGGACGGGATCGATATGAAGTAAAATAACGAATCAGGCGTTATTGTCATCGAGTTATCGACCCTTGGCTACATTATTATAGATATTTTAATATTAAATATTTTAAAGTTTTTGTTGTAAAAAAGTATTTTCTGACACTGTAAATATATAGCGTCATTTCTGTATAAGTTGGGTTTTGTTGTTTTTTTTTTACGCGATTAGCTTGTGAAATTTGCTCAAAAACGTAGATAAAACAATTTAGTTAGGAAGCCAATGTATTGTACACGTTTTTTCGTGTTTTTTTTTTAGTTATTTAAGTCAGGCTTAAACACTTTTTGATTTATTTTGTTTTTACACAAAACACACGTCAGCCAACAACAATTACGCCAAAAAGATCTGAAAGTAAAAAATAAACCAATTAGTGAATTTATAGAAAAATATATTATTGTTTTTATTTTGTGTTTAGACGAGATATTTAATGCCTGCGACACATACCACATGAAATTGCAATAACAATATTGCAAGTTTGCCGTTGCTAGGTAGCAACCACAAGAATTCGTGGTATACATGTGGTATTAGTATTGATTAGTATTGATACCATACTAAGATGTGTGTCCCTGGCATAACCAAAAGAATTTTCACGTCACGCATAATAAAATGGAAATGCGCAACCAAATGGCTAAACTGTTTATATACAGTTGTCCACAAAATAATAGGAGTGCGATATTTTGACCAGTTTTGGCTATTTGTCTTTTGTTTATTTAATGTTTATTATTTTTTTATAAAAGCCAGCTGGCTATACAACAAACACCATATAAATTCAGATTTTAAACTTTGTATAAAAATTATAAAAATTTTGCAATTTTTCACCCAAATTTCAAACTTTTTAATCAGAATCTTTAGAAAAAATTCTGGTATGCAGTTTTGTAGCACATTCAATTCTAGTCTGAAGAAGTGCAAGTTTCAAGCGGCTAAAAAATTCCGTTGATTTTTGAGAATTTTTTTGGTTAAAGGTGTTTCACGTTTTTTCCATACAAAGTATGTCGACAATTTTCTTTTATATGGAGGACACTGCCAGCAAAAAAAATGCCAAAAATCAACGGATTTTTATAGCTGCTTGAAACTTGCACTTCTTCAGACTAGAATTGAATGTGCTACAAAACTGCATACCAGAATTTTTTCTAAAGATTCTGATTAAAAAGTTTGAAATTTGGGTGAAAAATTGCAAAATTTTTATAATTTTTATACAAAGTTTAAAATCTGAATTTAGATGGTGTTTGTTGTATAGTCAGCTAGGCTTTTATAAAAAAATAGTAAACATTAAAGAAACAAAAGACAAATAGTCAAAACTGGTCAAAATATCGCACTCCTATTATTTTGTGGACAACTGTAGTACCGAGTAGGTTTATCCCATGCAAAGAGGCCGATAAACCCTCAACAATTTTTGAGTACAATGAGTGTGGAGATATTTTCTTAAGATCAAAACTAAACGGATATTGAAGTCTGATACATGAAGTCTTTTTTGAACTTCGAAATTGGGCAAAAAGATAACAGCGACCAATTCTAATAATTGAAAAGCTCGAACACTTCGAAATTTTGCTGAACTCTCAATTGAATGCAAAGGATTTCCGAGTTGTGAGTATTTAAATTTTACGCACGTGATGGAATGCGCTAATAATTTTCCTGCGTTGATCCAAGTGAAAGGAGTATTGAAAAAACATAAATTATCAGATTTTATCGGCTTAAGCTAACTCTGTTGGTGAATTGAAGGCAAATACCAAATAAATGTGCAACAGTCTTGAGTGCAGAAAAATTAAATTGATGGAGCCATAATAGATTTCGGCTTGTGATAGCTTGCCTTAAAAATGCAAGAACTTCATTTTGACCACCAAAAAACCCATTTATTTTGCTAGAACCTAAAAATTTAGTTAGTAGTGCAAAAGAAGAGATTAAATCAAATCAAATTTCAATATAAACTTTGTAAAATTGAGAATTCATTAATTTGTTTACCGCTTAAATGCTCCTTCTTTACATCTGGCAGTCCTTTCCTGCGGCGCTCGCGCTCATGCTCGCGTTCCTTCTCCTTATCTCTGATGCTACTTCGTTCGCTGCGATCACGATCACGTGAAGTTCGACGTCTGTACGAGCCGCGTGGTGAACGGCTGCGTGAACGAGAACGTGAACGCCGACGGCGACCACGGTCTCGGGAGCGCGAACGACTGCGGCTACGGCTGCTGCGACGACGAGTAGGCTTATAGCGATCACGATCATGCGATGGTGATGGGCTGCGTGAGTCGTTGCCATCCAAATTGATAACCTATGATTGTGGAAGTAGGAGCGCAAAGTCAAGATATATATTTTTGCAAAAAAAAAGAAATATAAGAAAAAATTAAAACGAAGGGACTAAATGGGGGGAGCAAGGTGAGCAGAAGATAAGACAGCTCGTGTGAGGAAGTAAAGAAGTGGATGCAAGATAAGGAAGGATGGAAAATAGGTTAGGATGATTGAATGTGTTAGTGGGTAATTTTATTCGGGTATTGGAATTTTTTCTGTATATGAAGGATGATGAGCCTATGTCTGTGGATGATTTTTTTTTATATTTTTTTTGAGGTTGATGAAGTGACGCATTATGACGTAGTTGAAATAATAAGTTTATATTAAAACTGTTACTTTTCAATACGCTAGCTCTAAGAGCCTGGCTGTAAGGCGTGGCATATAGTCGTGTTGACGTGTGTATATTTAATTCATTCGCGTTGTTATTTTTCTTATATAAGCGTACGCTTCGCTTTTATACTTCGCTTTCATTTACGATTTTTGAGCAAATTTCACGACTTGTTGTACTTTAAAACATTTACTTAAAGTTCTTTTATATTACGACTGATTTGTTAAATCATTTCTTTTATAAATTTTTTTTAATTTTAAGTTAAACAAAAAAATTTTAGTATTAACTTACCAGCAGCTCGCTACGCAAACGTTGTTATACGTCTCACATCAAGTCCGGCGGAATTTCATCAGAGTTATAATCTTACCTTTTCAACGCTTAAGCGCGAGCGCATAAGCCGTTGGATGGAAATTCCGACGCCAAAACGGAGTCAAAGTTAATTCAATTCGAATTTTTTTAATATATTTATATAAATAGGTACGTATGTAGGTGTAAATTTTGCTTGCATTTTTAAACAAATAGTAATTGTTATAATTGCAATTTAATTGCCAATTTTGGAATTTTCTAAATTTTACGATTTTTGTTGCTCTTCTTTAGCAGTTAATATATCTTTATAATGTATGGATTATTTGAATGCGCTAGTCAACAAAAAAATCATATACCTAATTCGATTAGTATGTAGTTAATGGTACAATCTGATATTTTTGAGTCTCTTGCATACATATAAATTTATAAGGACGTTAAAAAGATTCTTCAAGATAACTAAATGGTATTATATTTGCAAGTGCTGCCCGCCCAATTCATGTAAAATGGACATACAAATTTTTTTCTGGGATCTCTGTTCTTTTTATATTATTTTTTTTTAATCACGTCAATTTAATTTTGAAATTCTTAAAAGTGGTTCAATGGGAAATTCTTTTCTATGCTTTGGTATAACAACATCAGGTATTGGTGCTGATCAATCGCTCAATGGACGCGTCAAGTTTGATTTTCATTTATTCAGTTTTAGTTTAATCAGCCGCACGTCAGCACAAGTAAAACGGAACATTTCATGCAAAGCCTTTGGGATGCATATACATTTTTTTTTTAATTAAATGATTTGCCTTTTTTACTAATCACACTGGTTTACAGCAAAAATTTTGAACGGATGCCACTATCTAATTCTTATAAATAATTGCTCGCTGATTCCGAAAATCTACTTAATTTTTTACTCTATGGATAAGTGTTCAAGATATTTTCAATTTACCGTTATTCAGCTTAAAACAAAAAGTGGCTACACTTAATCACGTATATCTTAAGAACCAATTTAACAATATGGCAAACGAAAACTAACAAAATTCTACGTAGACCAAGGTACATTGAACAGGTAGTATCAGTAGAGCAGCTGATTTGATTTATTTTCAAATTATTTGGTGTCGAAAATGTCAAATATTTTTAATTTTTTCTCACAAAAATTCTGAATTGTTAAAATCCATTTGCATGTGAAACCTTTTCCCATACAAAACAAGCGATTGAATAGCAGCTTTTGGAACGTTCGCCCAACTCGGCAGCACGACCGCTGATTACTGGGCCTTGCAAAGGATGGATCAATGCTTCGAGAAGCAAACAAATTTACTAGGAAAGAAAGTTGCATCAATTTTTATTTTTTCCAATTTCAATTTTTTATTTTTTATAATTTTTTGTATTTCACATGGCACGCTTTGATTTAGAAGAAAAAATTCAGAACAGTTTTTGACACTTTCGATACCAGAAGCAACAACAAAATACACGCAAATGTTGTTTTTGCTCTACTGATACTACCTGTTTAATGTGCCTTGACGTAGACCGTATATAAATCACCTGATAGTTTCTGACAAATTAATTCATCATTCCAGATTTGTTTTTTTTTTATGAAAATGTGAAAAATAACAGAAGAAAAGTTTTAAAAATAATATCTGAGTCAAATTTCTGCATTTGGGCTAAAGCCTGTTCTATTACAAAAAAATCAAGTTACTAATGAAGCAAATCGATGGATAAATAAAGTACTTAATGAGTGGTAAAATGAAAATGCGCAAAGATTTGTGCAAAATTTTTACACAGAACCTGCTTTTTAATTTGTTTCCTGTTAAAATTTTATTTTTTCATTTTTTCATAAAAAAAAAAACTGGAATGATTAATTAACTTGTCAGAAAATATCAGTCCTATCGGAAAGTGACGTTTAGACGGTTTATGGAAAATTTTGTTAGCTTTGATCAAGGTGTATTAAACAAGGTGGTGTTGGGGCGACAGCTGAGTTTTTCGCCGTGGAGGCCATTACGTCAAAATGATGTGTTTGTTGTAACTCATACCAATGACAGTATGGACATCAGCGTATAATTTGTTAGTGTAATTTTTTACTTATATACGGCCAACACCACCTTGTTAAATACGCCTTGG